TCCTGCTCACATCTACTGTTGAACTCTTCTAATGAATTTTTTATTTCAGTTCTTGTACTTTTCCATTCCAGAATTGTCCCTTGTTTCCTATCATAGTTTCTATCTCTTTTATTGCAACTATTGGATAAGACATTATCTTCTTGCTCTTAGTTCTTTAAGCCTAGTTTCCTTTAGTTCTTTGAACATACTTGAAGTAGTAACTCAAAGTCTTTGTCTAGTGGTCTGACGTCTGGACTTACTCAGTTATAGCTTCTATTGATGGCTTTTCTTTCTCTATGTTGACCATACTTTCTTGTTTCTTTTGTATATTTCATAATTGAAAATTTGAGCTATTTAACTCAAATCATGGGTTCATACTGTTATTTCCTATTTGTAGTTAGGATTACAGGATATTTACTTATCTTTTACACTGAAATTCTTGTTTTTTGACATTAACAATGATTTATTCATGTCACAATATACATAAGTATAAAATAATATCATTACTGCTAATAAGACTCCTGATGTTCAATGAGGTCAGAAGAGCAATGCATGAACAAAATGAGCATTTCAACAAAGAGATAGAAAATATTAAAAAGTACCACAGAAATAAGAGCTGAAGAATATGTAATTAAACTGAAAAATTCACTGGAGAGGGTCAACAGCAAACTACACCAAGTGGGAAAAAGGATTAGTGAATTCCACGGCAGGGGAATTCATCCAATCAAAGGAGCAAAAAGAAAAAATAATGAAAAGGAGTGAAGATAGCTTAAGGGATTTATAGGGTACCATAAAAAGACCAATATACACTTTATAGGGGTCCTAGGAGGAGAGAGGAGAAAGGGGCAGAAAGCTTATTCAAGGAAAAATATGTTGAGAAAAACATACCAAAACTTATAGGATGCAACAAAAGCAATTCTAAGAGGAAACTTCATAGTGATAAACACCAAAGTAAGAAAAAATAAAGATCTCAAATAAACAACCTAACTTTATACCTCAAGGAACCTGATAAGGAAGAACAAACTAAGCCCAAACTTAGCAGAAGGAAGGAAATGACAAGCATCAGAGGATAAATAAGTGAAATAGAGACTAAAAAGACAATGGAAAAGATGACTGAAACTGAGCCTTTTTTTTGAAAATATAAACAAAATAGGCAAACCTTTAACTCCACTTACCAAGAAAAAGAGAGAGGACTCAAAGAAATAGAATTATAGGTGAAAGAGAAGACATTTCAATTGATACTACATAAGTACAAAGGATCATAAGAGAATACTATGAACAACTGTACAGCAGCAAATTGAACAGCCAGGAAGAAGGATAAATTTTTAGAAACATATGACTTAAGCAAGACTGAATCATGAAGATTAGAAAATCTGAACAAATTACTGGTAAGAGGATTGAATCAGTAATCAAAATCCTCCCAAGAAACAAAAGTCCAGGACCAGATGGCTTCAATGGTGAATTCTACGAAACATTCGAAGATGAATTAATAGCAAGCCTTCTTAAACTCTTCCAAAAAATTGAAAAGAAGTAATCACTTCCACACTCATTTTAGGAGACCAGCACTTCCCTGATATCAAAACCAGACAAGGACGGTACAAGAAATGAAAATTACTGGCCAATATCCCTGATAAACATAGATGTAAAAATTCTCAACAAAATATTAGCAAATCAAATTCAACAGTACATTAAAAAGATCATACACCATGATCAAGTGGGATTTATTCCAGGGATACAAGGATGGTTCAACATACACAATCAATCATTGTAATACTTCACTTTAACAAAATAAAGGATAAAAATCATAGGATTGTCTCAGTACGTGCAGAAAAAACATTTGACAAAGTTCAACATCCTTTCATGATGAAACTTCTCAAAAAACTGAGTATGGAAGAATGTACCTCAACATAATAACAGCCATATATGAGAAGGCCAAAACTGACATCATACTCAACAATCAAAAGCTGAAAGCTTTTCCTCTAAGATCAGGAACAAGACGAGGATGCCCACTCACCACTTTTATGCAACATTCTACTGGAAATCCCAGCCAGAGCAATGAGGCAAGAAAAAAAAAGAAGCAGCATCCAAATTGGAAAGAGAGAAGTAAAACCACCACTATTTGCAGATGACATGGTGTTAAATATAGAAAACCCTAAAGACTTCACCAAAAATCTGTTAGAACCAATAAACAAATTCAGTAAAGTTGCAGGATACGACATTAATATACAAAAATCAGTTGCATTTCTGTACACTAACAATGAACTAACAGAAATTAAGAAAACAATCCTATTCACAATAGCATCAAAAAGAATAAAACCTCTAGGAATAAATTTAACTAAGGAGGTAAAAGATCTGTATGTGGAAAACTGTAAGACATTGATGAAAAGATATTGAAGAAGACGCAAATAAATGGAAAGATATTACATGTACATAGCCTGGGAGAATTAATATTGTTAAAAATATCCACATTACCCAAAGCAATCTACAGATTAATGCAATCCCTATCAAATTTCCAATGGCATTTTTCACAGTAATAGAAAAACAATCCTAAAATTCATATGGAAACACAAAAGACCCCAAATAGTCAAAGCAATCTCAAGAATGAAGAACAAAGCTAGAGTCATCACAATTTCTGATTGCAAACTATATTGCAAAGCTGTAGTAATCAAAACAGTATGGTACTGATGTCAGAACAGACACATAGATCAATGGAACAAAATACAGAGCCCGGAAATAAACCCATGCAAATATGTTCAATTAATTTTTCACAAAGGAGCCAATACTATACAATGGGGGAAGGACCACCTCTTCAACAAATGGTGATAGGAAATCTGCATATCACATGCAGAAGAATGAAACTGGCACACTCTTACACCACACACAAAAATCAGCTCAAAATAGGTTAACGTCTTGAACATAAGGCCCAAAACTATAAAACTCCTAGAAGAAAACATAGGAGGTAAGCTTCTTGATGTTGGTCTTGACAATGATTTTTTGAATTTGACACCAAAAGCAAAGGCAACAAAAGCGAAATAAACAAATGTGACTGCATCAAATTGAAAAATTTCTGCGCAGCAAAGGAAACCATCAACAAAATGAAAAGACAACCTATGGAATGGGAGAAAATATTTGCAAACCACGTATCCAATAAGAGGTTAGTATCCAAAATATACAAGGAACTCATACAACTGAATAGCAAGAAAGCAAATAACCCAATTAAATTGGGCAAAGGACTTGAATAGACATTTTTACAAAGAGCAAACAGGTACGTGAAGGGTGCTCAGCGTCACTGATCATCAGGGAAATGCAAATCAAAACCACAATGAGGTATCATCTCACACCTGTTAGGTCGTCTGCTATCAAAAAGACAAGAGGTAACAAATGCCGGCGAGAATGTGGAGAAAAGGGAACCCTTGTGCACTGTTGGTGAGAACGTAAACTGACACAGCTGTTAAGGAAAACAGTATGGCAGTTCTTCAAAAAATTTAAAATATGACTACCATATGATCCAGCAATTCCACTTCAGGGTATATAACCAAAGGAATTGAAATCAGGATCTCGAAGAGATATCTGCACTCCAGTTTCATTGCAGCGTTATTCACAATAACCAAGGTGTGGAGACAACCAAAGTGTCCATCAACAGATGAAGAGTAAAGATGATGTGCTATGTGTATACTCACACACACACCCAAGAATATTATTCAACCTCACACAAAGGAGATCCTCCCATTTGCAACAACACAAGATGAACCTGGAGGGTATTACGTGAAATAAGTGACTTATTAAGTGAAATAAGTAAGACAGAGAAAGACAAATACTGCACGGAGTCACTTATATGTGGAATCGAAAACAAACAAAAGTTGAGCACTTAGAATAGAAAAGTGGTTGTGAGAGGCGGGGGGCGGGGTGTCGGGGAAATGAAAAGAGGTTGGTGGAAGGGTACACTCTTTCAGTTACAAGATGAATAAGATCTGAGGATCTAGTGTATAACATGGTGACTCTAGTTCCTAACATTGTATCGTACAATAGAAATTTGCTAAAAGAGTGGAACTTAAATGTTCTTTCCCAAAAAAAGATACCTATGTGAGGTGATGGCTGTGTTCATTAACTGCCTGGGGGCATCCTTTCACAATGGATGCATGTATCACATCATCGCGTTGTACACTTTAAATATCTTACCATTTTATTTGTCAGTTGTACCTCAATAAAGCTGAAAAAATACCTACTGAATATTGTTTTCCTAGTAGGTTGTTTTATCGTGTTTTGTTTTTTGGTTTCTTTGTTACTTTGTTTATTGCCCTTAGGATATATCTGACTTGAGCTGTAAAGTCTCAATACTGTATTTTAGCCAAAAACTAGAAAGCACTGAAAGGCCCATCAGTGGGAGAAGGGTTAATTTCTGGCATATTCGTATGATGGAAAACTGTACTTGATGAATAACGTACAGCTACACGCAACCATATGAGTGGGTGTCCCAAACAGTGTTGAAGAAAAACAGCAAGACCCAAATAAGCTTATATGGTATGATTCCAAATACATGTATGAGTGTGTTTAGTATAGTGTGTGTGTGTGCATTCTATTATATATAGTATCAAAGTAGGCAAATCTATCTGTCTATATAAATATACAAAACTCATCTCCTCTGGTAGAAGTGACTGTTGGGGGGAAATGCCTGGGAGGAGGTACAAGAGGAGATTTGGGCACAGACATGTGTTTTGTTTCTTAGTTTGGATGCTACTTACTCAGGCATGCTTCATATATCAGCATTTGCAAGCTGTACAATTATGTGCACTTTTCTATGTATGTATTATACTATAATGAAAAGTTTGTTTAAATTGTGATTTAAAGTCAGTTGAACTAGTTCCTTTCTGATGTGGTTACGGCACAGCTTGATATAGAGTTAGAGTAGACTTCTTTTAAAACTAATTTGTGCTCATTTTTACATGCGGATGCCAGAGTTTGCGATTGGTAGCCTAGATAATGCCAGCCATAGCCATGAATTCGGTCCTTTGATTTCTCAGGAGAACCTGTGCCTGTCAAGGGCTGGACCCAGACACGTGTGGTGCCTCCTTCTCCTTTGGTTGTTCTTGGAGCATGTACTACAATGGATGTAAGTTTGCCAGAAGCAAGATCCCAAGAAAATTTAAGCTGCTTGTGGATGACCCAAAAGAGGTTTGTTTACTTCCTGATGTATAATCTCTTTATTTTTCATGGAGAATTAATGAGCATAGATGAAGTGAACAATATGACGTACTCCGTCACACTTTCATTAACAAGATTACAGATGAGTCAACAAAATTTTGCCTAAACTGGAGTCACATTATAATATTTTATAAAGTTAACATAATAATCATGTGATAACAAAGTAATAGATAAAGTTTGAACAACATAAGTTCTTCATACCTATGGCCTTTCATATTTATTCATTTTTATGTTAATTCCAGAGTTTTAAACAGCTGTCACTTCAGTATTAAAACTAAATGTTAACGCTTATGTGTTAAAATTATCATCTTTTGAACTTGAATTATAGAAGTCATGTTCATTACTGCAATGATCAGAAAAGACCATTTCTAGTCACATTTTCATACCATGAGATTTGATAGTTTAAAGTTACCGTAATGAACACATTCAAGTAATCAAAATATATTTAGATTTTAACATAAAAGTGTAATGGAAATAAATGAACATTGATTTCTCATTGAATTCACTGGTTTTTTGTCTTTTCTCTAGAATACATATTTCTCAAAATATAACTTACAGATTGGTATCAAATTTAAAACTTTTAGGTAGCATGTGTTCTAGAGTGTACTAATTGAATAATCAGAAAACCTCAGTATATTCAGCATTTAGATATGACCAAATTTTTAGTGACTATGCATCTTATAATTATCTTTCAAATTTTAAATGCAATTGAAATATACAGTTATACTGTGGATATTATAATATTGATATGTCCCTCTAAATAAAACTTGTTAGCTTTGTTGTTTGTGACTATAATAGTAACTAGCAGTTTAATAAAGTGCAAAAACTCTTGAAATCACAATATAAATTTTTTTCATAGGATTACAGTATTGTTAATAAACTATATTACTTAAACATGCTAGATGTCCTCTTTTCATCGGGAAAAAACACAAATATTTAGTAAACCTAATGAAGACTAGCACCTTTGCATGCTGTCAGCCACTTTAATTTTCCACACTGGAGAGCTTTCTCACTGCTATTTCATAAATGTTTACCATTCCAACCATGTTTCATGTAAACCAGATCCGGGGGATGGCTAGTGCCGTCTCCCCTCAGGTGGGCAGGAGGACTGCACTCAGAAACCTTACCTCCTAAACTACGAACCAGTACATCTCTGCCGGCGATTCTGTCTCCTAAGATTTTTAGAGAAATAGTAATATGAAATGAGAGCTTCTAAGTATGAACAGCAACTGGGTATTATCACCTACCATTTTAAAAAGCAATATTACTTGGAAAATCTGTTCCTTATGGGAAGAAGGCAGTGCAACTGAACATTTTTCCTTTCAAGTAAGCCTTACAAAGTTCTTTGTATATACCACATTCTAGGTCTGAGAATTTTATCTATATTTGAAGCATCTAGTAAGTGGAGAGATCATTTCAAATTTTGAAGTACTATTTTTATAAACATTTAAAAATATAAAGATTGCAAATAGACCAATTAAGCCAAATGAATCCTTTCAATAGCTCATCTTCCTTGGAAGCTCATTGGAGAGGGAGTGGAGAATGTGACCTCTTTAAGACCAGATGGCTTCATTCTCCTAACCCTGCTATTAGCATGGGCTTATATTCATAAACTGTCAAATATTTGCATGCAAAGTAGAAAATTGATTAATCTGATGAAATACCAAAGAGCTAGATATTTAATAGCACATACAAATATAGGTGATATATGGTCTATAATTTTCACTTAGAAATAGTCATGTTAAGATGCTTTAGTTATTTAATAAGAAAGACACTATACATTATGTTTTGGATCCAAGATGTAGGGGGAAAATGTCTAACTGACAGCCTCTCTCACATACAGAGATAATTGATTTAGAATTTAATATGTAGAATTATTCGTTTTATACAGGAAGAGAAACTGGAGTCTCATTTACAAAACTTATCCACTCTTATGGCACCAACGTACAAGAAACTTGCCCCTGATGCATATAATAATCAGGTAAGTTTAAATAATTATTGACAATGATCGAAACAGTTCACTTGCTCATTATTGATGACCGACCTACCTACTTCCAAAACTATTTTTGAAGAAATGCTCCTCCTTTATTTGTCTAACTTTGTCTCTCCCGAATTGTCGAAGCCACTGCAGTGTTCTGTTTCTGGGATATGAAAGTTACACCATCCAAAAGAGCATAGTTTTGGTCTTTTAAATCTGTAAAGATAATGAGCTTTTAAGGCTCACAAGCTGTTTCTATCTATTAATCTTGTTCTCCTATAGATAATTTTGTCTCTATAAGCAGAATCCAGGAATTAATTAAAATTATGTGGCCCAAACTATAGGTTCTAATTATCTACAACTGTTTCCACAGAAAGTCTATACGTATACAGCTATGGGTGTACTAATTTGTTAAGTGCACATACCTGAGTCCAGATATGACCGATCTGGCTGGATCCTTTTCTCTATTCTTGGCCTTGGCTCCATGAACTAAGCAAAACTATTTCTTCCCTGTTTTAACAGTGTGTTCTAGACTGTGCCTGTCTAGAAGGCTGAGTAGCTGGTTCAGAAGTGCTCAGGAAGCAGGCAAAAGAGCGTAGAGTCTCCTCTGCTTCAGTAGTGTCAACATAACAGCATTACATGAAAACCTGATCTGAACCAGATGCTGTGTTTAATCTCTGCGGACATAAAGAGGAACAGTGTAGCCTCTCTGTCTTCAGGAATTCCTTCTGTAGAGGAGACACGGATATGTAAAATACCATTACAGAAGAACACAGTAACAGCTACGGTAGAGGTGTGCACACATCTCTGAGGGAAGAGAAAGATTCTTCCTGAGTGTAGAGTATAAATGTAAGGTCAGAGATGGCCTTGGAGGCCATGCAAAGAGCTGTGGACTTTCTCCTGTAGGTGAGAGCACTGCCACGGGGGGCTTTTAGTGTATGTTGGGGGTGGGGGAGGGTGAAGTGATTTAATTTAAAAGGTCACTCAACAAGCCAAATAAATGAAACATAGCTTAGATTAGTGTAAGATTAAATTAAAGAAGAAGTAAGCTATTGTAGTCTTTGGGCAAGAGATATAAAGTCCTAAATTAAAGAAATGTCAGTAGTGATGGAGAAAAGGAAATAAGAATGTGAAATATTTGAGGTGGAACTTACAGAACTCAGTGTTGGATTTAAGGATGAGCGAAAGACAGAATTTGAGGATCCACCAAATTTCTGGTTTGGACAGGTGGTTCTGTTAACTGGTGACAGGAATCAGTAAGGGAAAGTAAGTTTGGGGGAGAGAAGGGGAAGATGATAAATTTCATTTTGGATATGCTGGTTTGACCTATTTCTAGGATAATTAGATGGAAAGTCAGGAGAAAAATCCAGACTAGCGCTGTAGATTTGGGAGTTATCAAAATGCAGGAAGTAGTTGAAGTTGAATACATAGAAGTGAATGCAGTTTTTCAGAGTGGAGATTCTAAAGAGGAGGAGGGCTAAATGATGCACTCTGGATCACAGCCACATTTTGGGGGTGCGTATAGGAAGAGAAACCAGTGAAGCAAGTGCTGGGTAGAAGCGGTTAAAGATTTAAGGGAAGAGGGAAACTGACAGGTGGGGGAAAGCTGGAGGCGACGAGAAGTCATGCAGGGCAGAGTGCACAGCAGCAGGGCACATGGACTTGTGAAGGGCACTGCATTTGCAGACATTGTCGCTGGCTTAATAACATGGAAGACTCCAGTGGGATTAGATCAGTGTACGTGACAGAGACGGACAGGGGACCAATCCTAATCAATGATTTAGCTCCTCTTGTTTCCATTGTGAGCTTCAATACTTTCCCCACCCAAACCTCAATATATATATTTTTATTGGGAGCAAAGGAGCCAAATTTAATAATGATGGTCTGTTTATAAGTTGTTTTATGTCACAACTTAGGGTTTTAGAAATATATGTGAATGTCTATAAAAGTTATTTTAAATGCTGTTAATAATAGTGGGATTAATAGCTATTTTACAACCTTACCTATTTTACTATCACAGAAAAGTATAAAGAATGCTTTGGTACTGTTGTAAAATAATTCTAGGTGAGAAACACAATAAATCAAGCGATGAAGATAAGAAAATGAATTGAAGATATTAAATGTCACTAGATTTCAACTTTGGCCATTTTCTGTTGACTGAATTTTTTTATAGGTATATTAATCAAATGGGCTTAGCTGGGGAAAGGGACAGAACAACAAAGCATTGATCTTCTTTTTAATCCTGTTATTCTTATTATAGACTGTCTCATACACACCTGGTTTTCTAAGCATTTATATTCTACTTAGTAGATTTTGTTTGGAGTGTTTCATGCATTTCCCAAATCTGAAATGCCCAAAATTTCTAAGTTATAACAGGATGATTAGGTATAATTTCTTAGGTGTGTTTCAGTGTTTATACGAGCATAAATGTGTAGGTGTACTAATCAATGGGCGCAAAGTTTCGGCTAAGCAAAGTGAACAAGCTCTGGAGATCTGCTGCACAGCGTCTGTACCTGTAGTCGACAATAACGTATCAGACACTTAAAAACTTGTTAAAAGGGTAGGTCTCAAGTTAAGTGTTCTTACCACAATAAATTAAATATATACATACATTCATACATTAAAAATAGGTGTAATGGGGCCGGCCTGGTGGTGCAGTGGTTAAGTTCACACGTTCTGCTTCAGCATCCCAAGGTTCACTGGTTCAGATCCCGGATGCGGACATGGCACTGCTTGGCAAGTCATGCTGTGGTAGGAATCCCACACATAAAGTAGAGGAAGATGAGCATGAATGTTAGCTCAGGGCCCGTCTTCCTCAGCAAAAACAGGAGGATTGGCCTCAGATGTTAGCTCAGGGCTGATCTTCCTCAAAAAAAAAATAATTTAAAAAATAAAATAGGTGTAATGTCTATATAAATTAAATCAACTAATGGCTATGAATGGATGTGGTGTTTTTTATATTGCATGGTAGGTACTATTGGTAATGTTCATCCATATGTCTTGATAGAGTTTAAAAATCCAAAAAACAGCCATGTGATCTTTCCACACAATATATGGGAAGACCTTTTGAGGTTATAGGTGCTGTCAAAACCTACCATTTGATCTTTGCCTCCTTCCCTCAACTGAATAAAATATCTTTATGTCTCATATCTGAATGTTCTTCCTTGCTTTACTTCTTGATTTCATAGTCAAAGTCTTATTGCTAAAGTTAAGCTTCATTGGGTCTTCATAGTATATCTTCTGTCAACCCCGTGGACTTAGAACATAGGTTTTCTCAATTTAAACGTTTTTTTCTTTATATCTATCCAGTAGACTCATTTTTGCTCTGCTTTTTCTATTATCATCTTACCATTAAACTTTAGGGCTGAATTAGCAGGTTCAGATCTCAAAATCATGTGCTTGCATCAGATGTGGAGATGACATTTTTAGACCAATGCTGTCCAAGAAAACTTCCTATGACAGTGGAAATATTCTCTGTCTACACTGTGCAGCACAACAGCTGCCAGCCACACGTGGTTATCGAGTGCTCGATATGTGGCCAGTGTAATCAAGTTAATGAATTTTTATTTTAATTTAATAGATTTAATTAGCCACATGTGGCTAGTGGCTACCATATTGAACAGCACAGCTTTACACCCTCAGAAAGCCATGCACTTAGATTGTCTTCCAGACATGGAGATGTCTCTCCAGTAATCCATTCACAAACCCCTTCATGGTGTTTCTTGTGAGATAGCCTAAGTCTGTCTAATGATCAACTAGATTTTGTACACATTTTTATTCAAGGAACAGAATGAAGTGATCTAGAACACGGCATGGACTAAACAGTCACAAACCACACAGCTATGTGGTCATACAGTGGTCAACACCATCACTTTCTTTTGACCAGAGTCTTATAAGTTTCAGTATATAAATATGCTATGTGAACCTGATGGTAAATAATATTCAAGTCATCAAAAACTTTATCAAGTTGTGAGTTCAGCTTCTAGCCATGACAGATTAACAGGGACTGGATTTACTTTCACATATTAAAAAAAAACAACAACAGAATATATGAAACAATGGCTTTTAGACATAGGACAATAAGAACCACAAGATAGTAACACTGTCTTGGAGGAAGGAAATGAAAAAGGTGAACCTATGATTACCTGAGCTTACTTCCAAAAAATGAAGAGCACGATAGGCTCAGGGCAGGGAGGGGGAACCCAAACAGACCCCAGGGTTATCTCCGTGTGAAGGAGACTAAGTTCAGAATTTGGGGAAGCCAAGGTGCTAGAATTCACCATTCAGAGTACCAGAGAGGAGAGCGCTTCATTGAGAAGAGCTTCAGAGATCTGTAGAGGGTTCTGCTTGCGTCGTCAGCTGAGTACTGAACAGTGCGTGCATGTGAAGAGATCACCAAGGCTGTGGAAGGAGCCATCAAAAGGAATAGGCAGGGGCTGGCCCCGTGGCCAAGTGGTTAAGTTCACACGCTCTGCTTCAGCAGCCTGAGATTCTCCAGTCTGGATCCTGGGCACGGACCAACACACCACTCATCAAGCCATGCCATGGCAGCATCCCCCATAGAACTAGAACCACTTACAACTAGGATATACAACTACATGCTGGGGCTTTGAGGAGGAAAAAAAAGAGAAAGATTGGCAACAGATGTTAGCTCAGGGCCACTCTTCTTCACCAAAAAACATACCTTAAAAAAAAAAAAGAAAAAAAAAGAGGAACAGGAGGAACAACCCCTTGATTCCATACACAACTGGACTAGTTCTTGTTAATAACATGCAGAAGGAAAAGACCTCCTAGCAGACAAGATATCAAGTAGGGTATTCAGAATTTTACGGCCTTGGTACAGAAGTAGATTAGGCTGTTCTGGTCCAAACTAGAAATGGTTACAGTCAAGACTTGAAAGGATCAAGCTGATTCCAATAACTTAACAGCATCCCAAAACAAAATTTTTTTTAAAATCCCACAGACAACAAGGTAAAATTTACAATGTCTAGCATCCCATCAAAACTCACCAAGCATACAAAGAAATAAGAAACTGTGACCCATCATGAAGAAGGAGGAAAAAAACAACCAATAGAAATAGTTCCAGAAATGACATGTGATAAGAATATGGAGACAAGGACATTAAAATAGTTCTCATACATATATTCCATTTATTCAGGACAACAGAGGAAGTATGAGCATGATAAAGAAAGCTAAGAAGATATCAAGAAGACCCACATTGAATTTATAGAGATGAAAAATATATGTCTGGATAAAAAATATGCTAGTTGGAATTAATTCCAGAAGATTAGTGGACTTGAATACATAGCAGTAGAAATGTTCCAATGTGCAATAAAGAGAAAAGGCAAAATGAAAAAAATGAATAGATCAAAGGCCTCTGAGACAATATTATTACACTAATATATGTGTAATTGGAGTCCCAGAAGGAGGTAGGGTACTGAAAAGTATTTAAAGAAATGGTCACAATTTTTTCAAATTTGTTCAAAACTGTCAACCCATTGATCCCAGAAACTCATCAAGCCCCAACCAGGGGGGTAGGGGAAGACTTGAAGAAAACCAGATAAAGGCACATTGAAATCAGTTTGCTTAAAGTCAGTGATAAAGAGAAAATGCAAAAAGCAGATGGAGAAAAAAATGGCATAGTACATATAGTGAAGAAAACGATAATAAACACAAGAGACTTCATGTCAGAGGAAAATACAAGAAAGAGGATAGAGGAGAAACATATTTAAAGTATTGAAAGATTTATTTTCACATATACAAAAGCTGAAATAATTTACCACCAGCGACTAACACTTCAAACATGTTAAAGAAAGCGCTCCAGTAGAAAGAAAATGACATCAGATAGAAATCTGGATTGACTAAAAGGAAGGAAAACATCATAAATACTAGGTATGTGAGTAAAAAGACTTTCTTTATCTAAAAATTTCTTTAAAAGATAATTTGCTATTTTAAAAAATATATTAACAATGTACTTTGAGGTTTCTAATGTAATAGTAATGTAATAATGCTATTTTAAAAAATATATTAGCAATGTACTTTGAGGTTTCTAATGTAATAGTAATGTAATAATGAAATAGCACAGAGGCTGGGGGATTGGAAGAATACTGTTGTAAGGTTCTTGCGCAGAGAGTGGTGGAATACTACTTGGATGTGTAGACTGTGAAAAGTTAAAGAGTACGCTGTAGATCTTAAAGCAAGCAGCCACTAAAAAACAGTGTATAGCTAATGCACCAGTAAAAAGATGAAAATGGAATCAACCAAAAAAATTTTTAAAAATATGGAACCATAAAAAAGATAAGACAAATATAAAACAAATAGCAAGATGGTATATTTAATCCCAACCATATCAAAAACCCCATTAAATGGAAATGGTTTTTAACACTCCCAATTAAAAGGGAGAGCTTGTGATACTGAATAATCACATCGATACTGAACAATTGTGATGTTGAAAAAAGCAAGAACCAAGAAATATCATGCTAATATAAATCAAAAGAAAGCTGGAATGATTATATTAACAACAGACAAAGTAGATTTCATAGCAAAGAATATTATAAAGTATAAAGAGGATCCTTTAATATGATAATAAAGATAAAAGGGTCAATTCAAGAGAACATGATAATCCTAACTATGCATGCATCTAACTATGCAGAGCTTCAAATTTTATTAAACAAAAACTGATAGAACCAAACAAATTAATGCATCCACAATTATAGTCAGAGATTTCAATACATCTCTCTCAATAACTGTTGGAACAAGCAGACAAAAAAGCAGTAAGGAGAGAGGAGATTTGAACAACACTTTTATCCAACTTGACCTTATTGGCATGTCCAGAACTCGCCACCCAACAGAATTAACATTTTCAAGGGTACAAGGATGAATTACCAAGATAGATTATATTCTGGGTCATTAAACTAGTATCAATAAATGTAAAAGCTTTAAAGTATGTTCTGTGACCACAATGAAATCAAATTAAATCAAAAATCTGTACCAGAAGGATACCTACAAAATCCTTAAATATCTGGAAACTGATCAACGTATTTCTAATGACCTATTGGCCAAAGAATAAATCACAAGGGAAATTAGAAGGTATTTCACACTGAATGAAAATGAAGACATAACATTGAAATTAGTGGGATGGAGCTATAAAGCCTTGCTTAGAGAGACACTTAAAGCATTGAACACTTATAGTAGAAAAATATAAAGGCTCAAATCAATGATCTATGCTTCTAACCTAAGGAACTTGGGAAAGGAGAGCAATTTTAGCCCTGAAAGGCAGAAGGAAGATAAATAAAAATAAGCAAATAAACCAATGAAATAGAATACAGAAAACAAGAGAATAAATCAATGAAACCAAAATCTGGTACTTTGAGTCAATTCCAACAGGAAAAAAGAGAAGACAAATCACCAATGTCAAGAATTAGAGATGAGACATCACTACAGATCCTACAGACATTAAAAGAAAAATAAAGACATATTATTAAAACCTTATGCCAGTAAATTCAACAACTTAGATGAAATGGGCAGAGTCCTTGAAAAAACACAAATTACCACAGTTTTCTAAAGAAAAAGATAAATAACATGAATAGTCCTATACTATTAAAGAAATTGATTTGTAGTTAAAAGCTTTACCAAAAAGAAAATTCCAAGCCAGATGATTTTCCTGCCAAATTTGACCCATTATTTAAGGAAGAAATAATAACAATTCAATGGAAACTCTTCTAGAAAATAGAAAATGAGTAAACACTTACCAACCCATTCTTTGAGGCTGGAAATATCCTGATACTAGAACCAGACAAAGGCATTAAAGAAAAAGAAAACTATAGTCCAATGGTCTTCATAAATATTAATGTGAAACTTCTTAACAAAATTTTAGCAAATTAGATGGGACAGTGTGTAAAATGGATAATATATCATGACCAGATGGAATTTATTTCAGGAATGCTTGGTTCATTTAACATCAAAAATCAATCACCATATTAACCAGCATAACGGGGAAAATATTTGATTATCTCAATAGATAGAGAAAAGCATTTGACAAAATTCAACATCCATAGAAGGGAACTTTCTCAGCCTGATAAAGAGCATAGATGAAAAACCTAAAGCTACCATCATACTTAATGGTGAAAGACTGAATACTTTACTCCTAAGATTAGGAACAAGACAAGGATGTCCATTCTCACCACTGCTATTTAACATCTAACTGGAAATTTTAGTGCAGTAGGCAAGAAAAAGAGATGAAAAGCATACAGAGTGGATAGGAAGAAATAAAACTTAGTTGCAGACAACATGCTTGTCTACATAGAAAGTCCCAAAAAATATACAAAAATCTCTTTGAACTAATAAATGGTTTAGCAAAGTTGCAAAATACAAAAATCAATTGTATTTCTATATACTAACAGTAAACAATTAAAATTGAAATGAAAATGAAGAGCAATTAAAATAGCATCAGAAATATGGAATTCTTAGGCATACGTTTGACAAGAATGTACAAGACCTGTGCACTGAAAACTGCAAAACATTGCTGAGAGAAATTCTAGAAGACCTAAATATCTGGAGAGCTATACCACGTTCATGGATCAAAAGACTATATATTGCTAAGATGTCAGTATTCCCCAAATTAATCAATGGATTCAATAATGACATATCAGAATCTTACCAGATGTTTTAAAGGAATTAACAAGGCAATTCTAAAATATATAGAAAGAAATGCAAAGGACCTGGAATAGTCAAACAGTTTTTTTAAAAAAAGAGCAGAATTTGATGATTTATACTCCCTGATTTTAAGATTTACTAAAAATCTGTATTTACTCGTAATCAAGACAGCTGGTATTGGCATATATATACATACATACAGGCGCACACCAACACACCATAATATACCAAAAGATCAAAATAGAGAGTCCAGAAATAGATCCAGTATGTATGGTCAATTGATTTTCAACAAAGACAATTCAATGAGGAAAGAATAATCTTTTTACCCCATAGTGTTTGAACTGCTGGATAGCCATATGGAAAAAAATTAACTGTGACTCCTAACCTCACACCACACGTAAGAATTAACTCAAAATGGATCCATTTATATAAAATTCTAGAAAATGCAAAGTAATCGGTAGCGACAGAAAGCAGATCAGTAGTTGCCTGGGAACAAAGGAGAGGCATGAATTATAAAGGAGTATGGGAAAACTTCTGGGAGTGATGGATATATACATTATTTTGATTGTGGCAATGGTTTGATGTATACATATGTCAAAATGCATTAAATGGTATGTATTTAATGTAAGTCAGTTAGACCTCAATAACACTCTAAAATGAAAACTCTACCATGTCAAGGTACATGTTCTATTTTGTGTCACTCTGCTGTATTTCTGGATAGAAAATATACAGGTTTTTTTTTTTTTTTTTTTTTGAGGAAGATTAGCCCTGAGCTAACTGCTGTCAATCCTCCTCTTTTTGCTGAGGAAGACTGGCCCTGAGCTAACATCCGTGCCCATCTTCCTCTACTTTATATGTGGGACGCCTACCACAGCATGGCGTGCCAAGTGGTGCCATGTCCACACCTGGGATCAGAGACAGCGAACCCCAGGCTTCCGAAGTGGAACGTGCGAACTTAACTGCTGTGCCACTCGACCACCCCCTGCAGTGTTTTTTAAAGTCCTAATAGCCTAAATACTAAGGAGTCTTTTTGACCTTCAACGCACAGGCCTTATACTTCTTTGAGAATCTCAAATGCCTAAGTTCTTACCACTAGCGCACACTTTTATTTTTCAGATCGAATATGAACACAGAGCACCAGAGTGCCGTCTGGGTCTGAAGGAGGGCCGTCCATTCTCAGGGGTCACTGCCTGTCTGGACTTCTGTGCCCACGCCCACAGAGACCTGCACAACATGCAGAACGGCAGCACCTTGGTAAGTGGGCCGAGGGCAGATTGGCAGCACGTGTTGTTGAAGAGTGGCGGGCTGCAAGTTACAGCATCTGGTTGGAGCAGCATGTTCTCTGCAGGTGTCGTGCCCGACGGTGTTTTCATGAATGAAGTGCTGTTGCAACGTGACCTTGTTTGGCAGAACTAGTATTCTCATAAAAGGTTGGCACGTTAGTGGAAAACTGTGTTGACAAGCACATGAAAATCATGGAAATTCCTGGTGCTAGTCTAAACCAGTGACTATGCATTGCCAGCGACAATTAGCTGCCCAAAAAACCCTTCAAAATTCAGTATCAGATATCTGGTAGGTTATAGTCAGTTAAGCACAAGGCCATATACAAGCCAAGATGCCAACTCACCTTCCAGAGACAAGTATAAATGAAAAATGCATCGTCATTGTCAGAGTCACCACTGTAAAATGTTCCAAGTGCGAAAAAGCCCATTGTGACAGCATATGACAGTGGGTGAAATGGACTGGGCCTTAGAATTGGAGGCTGGTAAAGGGAGAAAAGGGATCTGGTCCCAGGGTGGAGCAACATCCCACACTGACGGATCCTAGGGTGAGGCTTTGTGTACAGAGGGATGCTCCAAAGGGAGATAAAGAATCAAAAAGTTCACTTGAGGAAACTATAAGTTAATAACCTAATGAGTCATCAACATGGATGTAGGTGAGTTGAGGAAGATGATCAATAAGACTTAAGATGAAGGCTAGAAGACAGACACTAAAGTGATGTTCTAGGGCAGAAAACAATTTGAGGAGGCAGTAGACAGTAGTGGAAGTGATTTGAAGCTGCTGTGAAGTGTTTGTTGAGAATCAGAAGGTATTGGTTTAATGGTCTAGACCAGGGCCGGAAAAGTTCTCTATTAAAGGCAAGATAGTAAATATTTTAGGCTTTGCAGTCTGCGTAGGGTCTCTGTCACATTGTTTGGGGTTTTTTAATAAGAAATTCTTTAAAAATGGAAAAGCCATTTTTAGTTCTCAGCCATACAAAACCAGGCTGTGAGGCAGGTTGGCCTCGCGTCTTAGCTTGCTGACTTCTGATCCAGGGTTGTCATCCGCAAGATCTAAAACTGTCACTCATCGTGGATGGAGCCCTGCTCATCATTAGGAGGGCTCTGCTAGATTCTGGGAAGTAGAAGGTAGCTGGCGCTCTTGCAGGTCCTGAGGATGACCACGTTTCACTCCAGCAAGGTGATGGAGAGAGGGCAGAGGGTGAGAAGGATGACTCGAACGGAGGGGAGTTTGCCCCGATGGGTCACGGGTGCTGTGAGGTGACAGGGAGAGCAGCGCTGGATGAGGACGACCGCGTAGGGGTGAATTGGCGTGGGAAGAGGTAACGTGCTCAGAGACGAGGATTTGGAAGACTCTTATGTGTAAGAAGTGAAAACTCGTTTTAATGCCATCTCATGTTAAACTTATTTATAAAGGTAAGTCTGTTATAATCACAAACACATTCCTTTCAAGAGTATCTTCCAGTGATTTTATATTACCTTAGGTTTTAAATAACCATGGTCACATTTTCTCCGTTAATCAAAAATACTAAATACTAAAGGCTAGTATTTTAAAACCAACAAATAATCTTTCATCAAAACCAATATGATTTTGGCTAACAAGAGAAAAAAGTGCCCTTAAATTATCAAAGCAACAGAAGGAGCTTTCTTCCCTTTTCAGGATACTGCCTCGTAAGGAGGGATATTTCAGAGGAGAAATGAGAGAGAAGAGACACAAGTCAGCTAGATCTAACAGAGCACGGAGAAGGAGGGGGAGGGGAGAAACAGGGTCAGGTTACATGTGACCTGTGCCAGCTGAGTCTTCAATGTCCCGTTATTGAGATTTCACTTTGGGATCTTGTGGAAGTTTCCTAAGCACACTGAATGAGAGTTAGGCACGAGGAAAGGTGTGAAATTTCTCTGTGTACAAAAGTACAAGACCAGGTGAGCGTGATGTTACCAAACAGAGGCAGCCATTTGGTGGAAGAAACTCTTGGCCTCATGTTGAAGAGCTTCGCAGGTGCGTTTGAAGTGTAAGGAGGGGGAGACTCCTTCCCTCAGGGTCAGAAATGTCTGTGAAGAAGAGAGTCACCGCAGGTCACAGTTCCTGACAGACTCAGAAACGTCAACATGAACTCGTCTATCCCCCAGTACCGTGTTGACACAACCTTCGTTAACCATGGGCAGGAGTGGTTTTATGGTGACAGGCACGTCACTAATCTGGTCCAGTTGCCACCACTACAAATCTAAATCCTGAGAGGGAGAAAGACACACACACACACACACACAGAGGAACACACCCACTCTTCCTCTGGACAGAAACTGAGGCTGTCCTGTCTCCCTTCCCTACCAGGTGTGCACCCTCACTAGGGAAGACAATCGAGAAATTGGAGGCAAGCCCGAGGACGAGCAGCTCCACGTTCTGCCTCTCTACAAAGTCTCTGATGTGGATGAGTTTGGGAGTGTGGAGGCGCAGGAGGAGAAAAAACGGAATGGTGCCATCCAGGTACTGAGTTCTTTTCGGCGGAAAGTCAGGATGTTACCGGAGCCAGTCAAGACGTGCCGACAAAGGAAACTAGAAGCCAAGAAAGCTGCAGCTGAGAAGCTTTCCTCTCTGGAGAGCAGCGCAAACAAGAACGAGAAGGAAAAGCCAGCCTTACCTCGTACTAAGCAGACTGAAAATGGAAGCCAGACTAAACAGTTGGCAGGTAAACTTAACGGGACGCGTTGTGGAGACGCGTGCCATATGACACTTATGTTAAAAACGAAAGGCATTAATTTTGGAAGGTTACATTCAATCACGGTCTTAGTTCTGTACCAGAACATTCTCTCCAGTAGCAGGGGCCAGGCTTTGCTCTTGGAGGTGACAATGAGACATTGCACCATCGACCCCAGCTTGATGGAGAAGTTTTGATTTTATTCTGTAATGAATGGCAAAGTTTTGTGATAGGTGGTGAGTGATATGGTGGAACTAGTGTTAATCTAGCAGTAGTGGTTAAGCCAGATTAGAGCTAGAGGAGATGCAGAAGAGACACAGCTGCGATACACTGAGAGTGAGGTCACGAGAGCTTGAAGGAGGTGGTAGCAATGAAGAGTTAGCAAAAAAGGTAGAAGAGAATTCTTCCAAAATAAATATCAATACATTGGTGACAAAACTTTGGAATGAAGGAGAATAAAAATTTAAGGATGACAACAAAGTTTTAAGCCTAGATAATCAAAACAGTACTATTTATTGAAATAAGAAGTTTGAAATAGGATTTATGGGGGCAGAGGCGAGAACACGATTTCTTTCCTCATTGATACTGAGTCTCAGGTTTAGCAAGGGGATCCACATGTAGTTATCTCACAAGCTTGTAGCCATCAAAATAGATCACATCTACAGCAGGAGCAGGAGGGCATTATTTATCAATACTAAGTTGATGTTTTCTTTGCAAATCCCTTGCTTTATGTCTGCAGTTAATACTGTAAAAAAATCATACAATGTAATGTCTGTATCCAAATTTTAGAGCTGGTATTGGCCAGGTCATTATCAAAAGAAAAATGTATATCTTTTAAGTTTAGTGCACCAATTTGCTTACAACCAACCATCTTTGCTTCACAAAGTCAAATTCCCCTACTGATTTTTCAAAGCTCAGAGAAACTAATTTAGAATAATATGCTAAAGATGGTTAATCAATATTTGTTGACTGGTTGACTCACACTAAGAGAGGTAAACCCTGTTCTCTCCCCGGCAGCTCCTTTGAGCGGGCCGTAAAGTGAAATCGGATGGAACTTTGCCTCTGGCCCCATCTAACTGGTGTCCGCAATAACCGTTCCGATTCTCAGGACTGCCAAGGCAGCTCCATTTATTCTTATCTCATATTACTTTTTTTTTTAAGTGAGGTCATGAAACAGAAGTATGACTTTTAACAGTTTCACTTACAAAGCTGAAATTTTCTTTCAAGTTTTATTGGCAACTGTATAAACTTCCTTTCAGGTAAGTGTGCTAATGAAATAGGGCTTGCCAATTATCTAAGATGCTTTGGGTGTTTAAATGAATGTCATTCTTTTTCTCATAGCATTGCTGAATCTTCCATAACAAATTTCATCCTGCTTTATTTTAACTATTTAACAAACTTTATGGCATGCCAGGCAATGGAGAAATGAGGTGAAACAAGCCATGGTTCCTTCCCTCAGGAACTACTTTGCAGTGGGCTGAGGAGGGGACAAAAATGGATACTTACAGTACATTATGACTGTCACTTATCCGACTTAGGTTTGCAGTGGGTATCACAACGCACTGGAAGACAAGGTCAGGAAGGGACCACTGTGCCCAGGCAGGGCAGGGGATGGGGTGGAGGGAGGAGGGCCCTTCAGGCAGGCAGTGGAGCACACTCAAAGCACAGAAGCTCCAGAGGATGTGATGCTCACGATGAAATGGCTTCTGGATGTTCTTACATGTTTCTTCACTTACCAGATTGTACTACTATAAGCTCCGTCATTTTATTTCTAATGCTGTAGGCACAAAAAATTTTGCCAGACAGCAATCAGAACCCTGACTTTGCTCTTGTCCTTTTCTGATGGGTTGTGTAATCCTGGTGGTGGTCCTCATGTACATTTAAGCATCTCACCAGCTTTCATAAAATGCTCATCAGGCGTGTTTGTCCCTGCTCTCTCTTGTCCTGTCCACAGAACTTTTGCGACTTTCAGGACCAGTCATGCAGCAGCCCCAGCAGCCCCAGCAGCCCCCGCCCCACTCCCAACCCCAGCAACTACAGAAGCAGCCCCCGCAGCCGCAGCCCCCGCAGCCGCAGCGACCCCAGCAGCCCCTGCAGCCACTGCATCACCCCTTGACCACTGACCCTCAGTCAGAGCCTGTCAACTCTTACTCTTCTGGATCCTCCAATCTGTACATAAGACGGTCCCATCCAGTTAGTCCTTATCCAAGCTCGTCGCACACTTCAGATCTTTATGGAGGCACCAACCCTCTCAACCTCTATTCCACCTCCTCCCAAGCTGCAGCTTCATATTTGAATTCCTCTAGTCCCATGAACCCTTATCCTGGGCTTTTGAATCAGAATAACCAGCATCCATCATATCAATGCAATGGAAACGTATCAATGGACACCTGCTCCCTGTATCTGGGTTCCTATTCTTCCCAGTCTCAGCCCATGGATCTGTATAGGTATCCAAACCAAGACCCTCTCTCTAAGCTGAATCTACCACCCATCCATACACTTTACCAGCCGAGGTTGGGAAGTAGCCAGAGTTTTACTTCTAAGTACTTAGGTAATGGAAACCAAAGCGTGCAGGGAGGCGCCTTCAGCAATTGTACGATTAGAGCGAACACACACCATGCGGGGACGTTCCCTCCTTATTCCACTCCTGAGATGGATGGCCACTGCATGGGAGCTGCTGCCAGATTGCCGCCCAATCTGAGCAATCCAAGCATAGACTATACAAACGATGAACACAACCCATCTTCTCACATCATCCATAACTACAGTGCAGCTCCGAGCTTGTTCAACACCTCTCTTCATGCCCTGCATCTCCAGAACCAGGAGAACCACATGCTTGCCCACACAGCTCTTGGGTTATCTAAGATGCTTCCAGCTCTTAACCATGATAGGACTGCCTCTGTCCAAGAAGGCTTACACAAATTACCAGATGACAGCAGTCAAGAAAAGCAGCCTTCTGCCGCCGAGGACAATGACGAGGTCTGGTCAGACAGCGAGCAGAGCTTTTTGGATCCTGACATCGGGGGAGTGGCAGTGGCTCCAACTCACGGGTCAATTCTCATCGAGTGTGCGAAGCGAGAGCTTCATGCCACGACCCCTTTAAAGAACCCCAACAGGAACCACCCCACCAGGATCTCACTTGTCTTTTACCAGCACAAGAGCATGAATGAGCCAAAGCATGGCTTGGCGCTCTGGGAAGCCAAAATGGCCGAAAAAGCCCGCGAGAAAGAGGAAGAGTGTGAGAAGTATGGCCCAGACTACGTGCCTCAGAAAACCCATGGCAAAAAAGTGAAACGGGAGCCCTCTGAGCCGCATGAATCTTCCGAGCCCACTTACCTGCGCTTCATCAAGTCCCTCACGGAGAGGACCATGTCCGTGACCACAGACTCCACCGTAACCACATCTCCATATGCCTTCACTCGGGTCACAGGGCCGTACAACAGATACATATGACGTCGCCCCTTGTGTTGGTTACCTCATGTGAAAAGACCACAACCAGCCTGTCCATAGTGTACTTCTCATGACATGGGCAGTGGGGGAAGGACACGGTGTTCACGACAAATGTGGTGGGAAGAACCTCAGCTCACCAGCAAAAACAGAGGTCATCTTACCATAGCACTTATTTCCACTGAGTCCTGAGTGGCCACAGGTGGCATCTGGGTAAAAGACCAAAGCATTCTATGCCAGAAGAAGGTGGGGAAGAAAGTGTTGCACAATTTACACTTCTAAACACTGGTTCTATTATCCGACAAGGTGATGTGTGAAGGTGACTTTCTTCCCCCTACAGCTCCACACATCTGTGACCACTTTTAATAATACAAGTTTGCATAGTCATGGAACACAAATCAAACAAGTACTGTAGTATTACAGTGGCAGGAATTTTAACATACCATCTGGTGCTGAACATATGATGTATTGAAATACTGGAATTATGGCTTTTTAACATGCAGTTTTTACTGTAATCTTAATATTAACTTTTATTTATCAAAATAGCTACAGGAAGCATAAATGAATAGACAGCAAAACACTGAATTTGTTTGGATGTTCTAAGAAATGGTGCTAAGAAAATGGTGTCTTTAACAGTTGAAAATTTAATGCCTTTATATCATCAAGATGCTATCAGTGTACTGCAATGCCCTTGATAATAGGGTATCTTTTCATCCAAGTTTTTATCATAATTACCTATTCTTACACAAGCTTAGTTTTTAAAATGTGGACATTGCAAAGGCCTCTGGATTTTGCTCATCCAGTGCAGTCCTCGTAGGACATTAAACATATCTATGTACATATCTACACACACATATGTATATGTGCACACACGTGTATGTATAGATATCTTAAATGGTGTTTTAGAAGCACTTTGTCTACCTAAGCTTGGACAACTTGAACAATGCTAAGGTACTGAGACGTTTAAAAGAAAAGTTTACTTTCATTTTAGAATGCAAAGTTGATTTTTTTTAAGGAAACAAGGAAAGCTTTTAAAATATTTTTGCTTTTAGCCATGCATCTGCTGATGAGCAATATGTCCATTTTTAATACAGCCAGTTACATCCAAAACGGGGCTTACTGGATTCAAGGGAATACATTAGTCCACAAAACACACGTTCTCTGGTGCTCATCTCACATGCTATACTGTAAAATGGTTTTATACAAAATTGTATGACAAGTTCATTGCTCAAATACGTAGAGGTTCAAGAATTTTCTGTTAACTGCAGGTAATAATCAACCGCATGCTACAGACTCAGCAAAGCTAGTTCACTTCAGCTGATGCTATTTTTTGGATCTGTATGCTCGTCAGCGAACCGAGTGGCAGTCTGCCTTTGTGTTGGTAATTGTACATTGTGATGTTGTCATTTCTTAGCTTAAGTGTCCTCTTTACCAGGAAGATTGAGCAGACGGATGCCCGCATAAGAGGAATAAACAGGGTTAGTTCCATGTGAATCTGTTAATTAAAAAAAAGGCAGCTGGTTTGCTGTGGTGGTTTTAAATCATTAATTTGTATAAAGAAGTGAAAGAGATGTATAGTAAGTAAATTAAATTGTAAACAAAACTTTTTTAACGCAATGTTTTAGTATTTTAGTACTGTAAAAAATTTAAATATATATATAAATATATATATATATGGATTTGAAACAGAATTCACATCATGATGGTGCTACTCAGCCTGCGACAAATATATCATAATGTGAGCTAAGAATTCGTAAAGGTTTGAGTGATGCTCCTACTTGTCATATACCTCAACACTAGTGTGGCAATAGGATATTGAACTGAGGTTGGAAGCTTATAGCATTGTGTACCATCATTTTTTCCAAGTCTTTTTTATTATTTTTAAAAAAGCATACCTTTTTTCAATACTTGATTCTTAGCAAGTATAACTTGAACTTCAACCTTTTTGTTCTAAAAATTCAGGGATATTTCAGCTCATGTTCTCCTTATGCCAACATGTCACCTGTGTTTATGTAAAATTGTTGTAGGTTAATAAATATATTCTTTTTCAGGGATTTAACCCTTTTATTTTGAATCCCTCCTATTTCACTTGTATATGTCCTGATGTAACTAAAACTAATTTTGTAAATGTGTTGGCTCTTTTTATTGTAAAGAAAAGCATTTTAAAAGTTTGGGGAATCTTTTGACTGTTTCAAGCAGGAAAAAAATTACATGAAAATAGAATGCACTGAGTTGATAAAGGGAAAATTGTAAGGCAGGAGTTTGGCAAGTGGCTGTTGGCTAGAGTCTTTCAGCTCTCTAAATAAAGATGTTTTCGTACTGTAATCAGATCCTTGAGGACATCCCTGCACAAGCAAAAGACGTAGTGGTAAGGTGTGCAGTCACCTGAGCAATTACATTCTGTCTAAGTACATTTTTGCTTACTAGTATTTCAAATAAATTCTTAATCACAAGAGGCCTTTGAGTTTTGTTGGTCAAATCTTTATAACATGGCTTTTGTCTTTTAGAAAACTTTCCCCAGTTTTTGGCTGTGACCAAGTGACAAACATTTAAAAAATGTGTGCTTTGCATATGTCAAACCACATGATTTTAGTATTTTGCATATACCATCTAACTGACCCCAAATATTTGGTTAGCACGTGCACATTTGTTGGCTCTGAGTCAGCCATCCCTCTATGAGTGTTTGACTTCTATGTCATCCACGGTCACTTGTCAAACTGCTGGCCAACGAGAGCAGGAAGTGTAGTGTGGAGCTGGGGAGGGTGGAGGTAGGGAAGAGGAGAGGAGATCCAGCAAAATATTGTAAATATCAGACCTATAATTGTAAATATCAAACCTGCCTCAGTTAGAATGAATGGAAAGCAGATCTCCAATTTGCTTACATAGGAATATCAGGTTGACTCTATAGCCATACTTGAAAATGCTTCTGAGTGGTGTCAACTTTACTTGAATGAATTTTTCATCTGGATTGACGCACAGTGGTGTATAGTTCACTTCTAAAGCTAGTAGTTGACTTGTGTAGGAAACTCTTGCAGTTTGACACTAAGGTAATGAACTCTGTTTGCATTTTTCTACGCTTTTTTTTAAACTTAGTTTCATTTCATTTTCATGAAATGTTTGTGTTGTCTATAAAATCTGAGGATGGTTATAAATACTGTAAGTATTGTAATGTTATGAATGCAGGTTATTTGAAAGCGTTTATTATTATATCATTCCTGATAACGCTATGTGAGTGTTTTTAATAAAATTTATATTTATTTAATGCACTCTAAGTATTGCCTTGTGGAAGTTTCTGTTTACTGCCTGAATTACTGCCACCTCAATAAGGCAAAAGGGAATAAAATATGTTGGAGGTAATATCCAAGTAATTAAGGCCAAAATATTTCTCTGATTGAACAGTCTGGAGATTCAACTTACTTTTTTCCCCAGCTTACTTTTTAGCCTGTTCAGTTTGCATGTGCAGCCACTGTAAGTCAGGGATGGAGTGACGGCCCTTCTGCTGACTTTGGATGGCCCATCCCTTCTGGTGTGTGGCCTCTGAGGTCCACCAGTGACAGCAGGTGTCCCGAGGTGGAGTTCATATAGCTGAGGTCTGAGGCCAGCCCTGTTCTCAGGTTCTCGTCTTCCTCTTCATGGCCACTCTTCCCAAGGAAGATGCCTCTTCCTGCCTATCTGAGAGTCAGGCTGTGTCAGGCGAGAGGAGTCCGGAGAGGTGGCCTGGGAGGCCCCCAACAAATGTGCATGCCCTCACCCATCCCACAGGACTTCAGGAAGCTGGAGGTGAGACTGTCCTCACCTCCACCCCTCTGACGTGTGAATCACCCCACACAGCACCTGCGCTCTCCTGCTGAAATGCTTCCTAGAAACACAAGATAGTGAACACAGTTACCAGTTACAGTTGTGTCTTCAACTCCGCCACCACCCCTTCCCAAACTGGCAGATAAATCCTTTTCATCTTGCATGAAATAAGGGAATTCCCTTTCTCGTATTCTCTATCTGTTCAGCCTGGGCCAAATTTGATTTAAAAAGTCACTCCTGAGCCCAGGAATGACCGCCATCTAGGAACCTTTGAGCTCGTTGGCTGGTTGACTCCTTCAGCAGTCGGCTCAAACCAAGATATTAGGAGAAGGAGCAACTTCACTGCGAACAAGCAGTGAGCCAATGATTTGATTTCTATTTTTAATTTCAACCCTTGGGGATGTCAGCGCTCATTTCGCAGTCCATCCTCTGGCTGGATGTGGGAACCTCCTACTCTTCACAGTGGCTCATCTCCACTGGCCAGGGCAAGGGGAATTTAAGATTCTGTGAGCTCAGAAGCTTTTCCTGCTAGGGCCCCATCCCAATCCCAGGTGGTGGAGGCTGGGGAGGCTGCTGTGCTATGAATGACAGTGCCAGCAGGCCTGCCACTCAGGAGCCTGCAGGTGGACTTGTCAGGGAGACAGCTGGAAATGACAGGTGAGCCAGCATCCACAAAGCTCCATTGGCCCCTGGCCTCCTCTGGAAATGATGGCCAAGAATGAACTTTTTCATCACGAGGCCTGCACATGGCTGCCCTTGCTCCTGTCCTCTGCCTCTTCAGCTGGTTGATTGTAAAAACCCTCCTGCGTTGGGAAATTCCAGCCTGGCTTTGACTCCTGCCCACTTCTGCTGCCCTGCGCTCACCTGCATGAGAACCACACTCAGCGAGCAAAGACCTTATTCATTAAGCCACCTACTCCTAAACTGCTGAGAATTTTAGTTGGTTTCATTGGTTTAAAGGCCATCTGGAGGGAGGGCCCATCAAGAATGTCAGCCTGGGGGCATCTTTCCTCTCCTGCCACTGTTGGTTGCATGAAGACAGGAACTTCAGTCAAGTTGCTGGGCTTCCCAGGGAGGGATGGGCACTTCCTTCCTGCCCCCTCCCTCCCCTGAGAAACTCTAGTTGTTGCAGTGGTGAGAAAAGATGCTTAGAAGAGAATTGACTGCGATTATAGATTACGTCAGTTTTACTGCACTCTTCAAGTTTCAAAGAACAGAGATACTTCTTTTCCCGTATATTGGAGGCCACCTGCCTGCATTTGACCTCTCTTACCAGGCAGTTTCTCACAGATCTCTCTGCTTGTTGACTCCAACACTCACTCCTGAAGGGAACCACTCTTCTTGCACACGCACTCAATGAACATGCTTTCTTTGGGGGCTTCCCTTCATGCTATTTCAAAAGGAATTTCTCTACTCAAGTTGACACTTTACTTCTTAATCAATCCTTAATTCAAACTGAAATGAAATTTCTACTTAGGTGTTGAGTAAAATAGTAGTTACACAAAGACACTCTCCACTTCTTCCCTGGCCCCACCTGACAACTTCGGGCCATTTAAATCTGCTCAATTAAGGGTTAGAGGCAGGTCCACTGAGTATGCTTTTAGTCCTTGCACAGAAGTGTCACGTTGATAGAAATCTGGCTGGTGTTGCTTGAAAGTCCAGATGCCGTGGAGCCCAGCCCTGCTCTCAAGGGCAGCCTGGACTGGGCTTCAAGGAACACGATGACGATGACGTGCGAGCAGAGGAGTGGAGAGCACTGGGCTTTAGGGCAGCCTGGCGGATTCACTGGCCCGTGCCTCGAGGCCTCGTCTGTGAAAACCAGGACAGCAGCGCCTTCCTGGTGGGGACGTGGGGAGGACCAAGGAGAAGGTGAAGCCTCAAGCACGACTAGAACAGGTGCTATTCTCACAAGGTGTCTCATTGCTCTCCCTCCCTCCCATTGGCTTTGTGCGAGAGGTCATTCCCCGCACTGCAGCTTAGGCTCGCCCAGCTGACCCCGAGCCACCCCCTCCCCCCAGGCGGGAACCCTAATTCCCTTACCTGACAAAGCAAGTTTACCTAACAGCATAAAAGCATCACTAGGACCTCAAAGCTGCAGAGAAGACTGTGACAAAACGGGAAATAGTCCCCTGACCCGTAATCCTACAAAGCCTCAAACTGATTTTCAGATGAGTTAATAATCCCGTGACGGCATGAAGACTCCAGGAGTCAGAACATCAGAGTTTCCAATTTACCAAATACGCATCGAGGATGAATAAAAAGCTCAAACAGTTTAAGGTTTAAAAGCAGAAGAAAAAAATCATGGGGCCAGCCCGGTAGCAAGGTGGTCAATTTCACATGCTCTGCTTCCGCGGCCGGAGTTTGCGGGTTCGGATCCAGGAGCAGAACTCTAGGCCTTGCTAATCAGGCCACGCTGTAGAGGCCCACATACAAAATGGAGGAAGACTGGCACAGATGTTAACTCAGCAACAATCTTCCTTGGCAAAAGACACTAGCTCAGGGCCAATCTTCCTCACCAAAAACAAAAGAAGAAAAAATCAAAGAGAAAAAAATAAATGATTGAGGAAATTATCATATTTTTATTTCCATGGAATTAATGTTTATAATATCCATGTTCCAAATATATGCATTAGAATAAAATGTTTTTAAGGCAGAGTAAGCTAAAATGGAAAGGAAACACTAGTTATGTGTTAAATATTCTGTATCATTGACTTTCAGAGAATTTCATCTTTTGTATTCCCTAGAAGATGACACACAGTAAAGAAAGCTCTGGGCCCCAGTCCTGGCTCTGCCAGTTGCCAGTTGTGTGACCCTGGGCTAGGTGCTAATCTTCAATTCCTTATGTGGAAAATGAAAATAATGCCTGTCTCCCAGGTTGTTGTGAGGAAAAATGATTTCACTTAAAGTACCTTGAAAGAACTAAAAAGAAGCAGCCAGCTATTATAATTATGTAATTAGTTCAGCTGAGGCTGCTACTTTGTACCACAGTGGTTTTATTTTATGCATTTTCAAGTTGTTTGTGAGAAAGAGGCAGTACTCACCAACTGCACAAACCAGGGATAAGCAGACTTGTCTGCTATCTTAGAGGTCACCTTTCCCAACTCTGGTTTTATATGCTCACTCATTCACTCATGCATTCACAAATAGTTGTGAGTATCACTCTTAAAAATGGTGTCAGGCACATTTCTTGGAGTTGGGCGTCCAGCAAAGAACAGAACCAGTAAGTCCCTATCCTCTGGAACTTCCATTCTAGTTGGGAGAGAGACACAGAACAAGGTAAATATGGAGATGAGTGCTGTGGGGAAAAGGAAAGCAGAGTGAGAGGAAAAGGAGGGATGGAGGGCCTTCTAAATGTAGGTTGGCCAGGGAAGACTTACAGGTAAGGTAATATTTGAAGGCACTGAAGATGCGAGCCATGTGCATATTTGAGAAAGTACATCAAGCAGAGAGAACAGCAAGTGAAAGGCCCTAAAGTGGGCTCATGAACACAGGAAGGCCGTGCCTGGAGCCAAATGAGTGATGAAGAGAGTGGTGGGGATAAGCTCAGATGGTGGAGGGCCCCATTGTGGGGCATGGTAGCTCCTCCGGCCTTTCCTCTAAGTAGATGGTGGTATTAGAGCATTCTCAGCAGAGGAGGAACATGAGCTGACTTGCATTTGAAAGGATAACTCTGTGTTAAAATAGATTTTAAAAGGCAAAGACAGATCCAAGTTTATGAAGCTAACAGGTCACCTAAAGTTTTAATCCAAAACATTCTCCTCCAAGACATATAAGAACAAAACTGTCTAAAACCAAAGACAAGAGAGAATTTGAAAAGAGGCAAGAGAAAAAAATTCTTTCATACAAAGGAACCCCCGTAAGGCCGTCAGCAGATTTCTTAGCAGAGACCTTACAGGCCAGGAGGGATGGGATGATATATTCAAAGTGCTAAAAGAAAGAAGCTGGCAACCAAGGATACTTTACCTAGCAAAGCTGCCCTTCAGAATTGAAGGTAAAATAAAGACTTTCCCTAACAAACAAAAGCTGAGGGAATTCACCACCACTAAACCAGCCTTACAAGAAAAGCTAAAATGAGTTCTTCAAGTTGAAACAAAAGGATGGTAATTAGTAATGTGAAAACACATGAAAATATACAACACATGGTAAAGGTAAGCATATACCCTAACACTATAATGTGGTGATGTACTAAATACTTCACTCCAGAAGAAAGGTTAAAGCACAAAAGCATAAAATAGTTACAGCTTCAACAATTTGTTAATGGATGCACAATTTAAAAAAAAGGTGGTAAATGATGACATCAGAAACATAAATGGAGGGGTGAAAGGATAGAGTTTTTGTATGTGATCAAATTGTTATCAGCATAAAAAAGACTGTTATATCTGTAAGATGTTTTATGTAAACCTCATGGGAACTACAAAGCCAAAATCTATAGTAGAAATGTAAAGATAAAGGGAAGAAAATCAAAGCATTCCAC